GTCGTACCCTTGTAAGATGCAATTTTTCGTTTTTTTGAAGCCCTATCCTAACTTTTGCCGGGGGTCCTGAATATAGCTGGGCCACAATTGTAGCCATAACGACTGAAAGGGGTTTCTGGGACCTCTCCACTGGTGATCCTAATCCGCATGGCGTCACTTTGTGTCACTGGGTGTTTAACGCTTGTGTGATGTCCTAGCAAGATTAATTGCAAGTTATTCTCATAATGTGCTCTTTTGAAAGCCACCTGATATGTCTTATTGATAGAAGCGGTTGTCCACACATTTCTCTTCTTTCTTCACTTGCTTTGGCTTGATCCTATCTGAATGTTGAATGTTGGTTAAAGAATCGACATCATAGCACTCGGGACACCCCCATATGCGCTCTGTCTGCATCTTCAGCAAAAAAGAAGAGTTCCCATTTCAATGGTACCAGTAACTGTCTGATTGTAGATCCGTCTCTCCCTTCCCGTTGAGTGTTGAGCGTCGGCCAGATCTCCTTGTAATTCCCAGCAGCGCCATTCTCCTCAGACCGTAATGATCTATCTGATCTCATTCAAGGCTCATCAGTTTTATCAGGCAGTGTTTTTTTTGAAGCAGCTAATTCCCATTACATATCTTTAGTAGCTCTCTAAATCTCACCGAAATATGTTAAAAATCTCATAAACTTAGAATCACTTACAAGTTTTAAAAGTATATTTTAGAGTATAGGACCCTTTTTTACACCTTAATGCGTTTTGGGCAAATAGGGCTATACCCATAGGTGATAGACCAGTCAGCACTTGGTGGGTTATATGGTCAACATCACGCCGACCGCCTGTACTTCCCAGGACTTTACACGGGTTTAAGACTGGGTCGACCTGGGACCCATGGTCTTTTTGACACACACACACACACACACACACACACACACACACATACACACACACACACACAGCAACAACGAAAATGTCAGCGCCATTCAGAACATGATCCCATCACCTTCGGTTCGGCAGGTGAGCGTCTAGACGCTACACCAGGCCAGCCCCGCCAAACGCAACGCTCTTGTGGCTTTATTTTTTTTTTTTTCAAAAATAACCTTGGCTCCCAGGTCGACTTAGCTTTAAATAGATGCCAGGTAAATTCTTGGGAAGTAAAGGCGGGTGATGTGATGATGACCACATCACCCATCAAGTGCCGATTAGTCTATAAAATATAGGTCAAGCCCTATATGCCCAATAGGCTTGCAGCCGTGGAAAAGCTTCATTTACTTAACTACTTTAGGTAAAGTCTTCGGAAGTAAATGGGGCAGACGTGATGCTGATTACGTTACACATCGAGACCCACCTGGACTGTACAAATATAGGTCTAGCCCTATGTGCCGTGTAGGCATGAAGGTGTGGAAAAGGATCCTTGCCTGAAGTAGAAGTTATTCCGTAACTGTTTTGTAGTGGCCCAGTAAAACTTGTACTGTATGGCTATTCTGGGATTCCGGGATTTGATCAGACTCATTCTTGAGGTGTTCATCCTCCAAATTGCAGTTCTGGGTGGAAAAACTTTAACAAAAAGAGAGCGGGTGGGTGGGGGGGGGGGGGGGGGGGGAGGGAACTACGTCATTTAAATGTGTGCAATGGTGTACTTCTTTTCAAACGTCCTTCATAATGCCGAGGGTGCCGGGTTCGATCCCAGCTACGGACGACTTGTCTTGCGTTGGTTTCGACTGTGGTGCCGAGAGTTGACCGCTCAGTGCCAATAGCAAACTACTAAAAGAAAAGTTTGCCTAAAAAAAACCACAACAGCCCCCCCCCCCCCCCCCCCTGACCCAATGTTGGGGTTAGTTCTGCAACGTCCTGTAAAGGATATACAACTAACTTTAATGGTGTACTTAATGCGGTAGCATGCAATCTGAACAGGTTTTTTTTTTTCTTCTTTGCATTGGCCATTAGGAACCTGACGATGCTGTGAACGAATTAGCAATACTTGATGACTCAGCTGATATTCCAGGGCACATCAATTTCACTTCACAGATTTTTGACTTTCTCAGTGAGTTGATTATCTTAAAATTGTGACCTTGTGATTTAAGACGGTTTAATGCATGCCAGTGGTTGAGGGTAATGTGAATAGAATATTTGTAGGTTGAAGTACTATTTAATCCTTAGTTTACAAACATGGGAAACAGAGGTAGCACAGTGGCCAAACGATTCCCGTTATCCAAAAGGTCTTGAGGTAGAATCCTCATTGATGCGAATTGTTATGCAATGACTGACATTCTATGTCAATCTAAGTCTAAACTTGATACCCGAAAATATAATGGAAAGTAAATGAGTGATTGACGTTAACGCCGCCAGGATATCACACCGAGCGATAAACACCCGGTGACACAAAGTGCCACCATTTGGTTGAGGATATCCCGGTGACAGGTACAGGAATCCCCGCTCAACCCACAGGTTGGGTTATATTAGAGCAACAGCCAGGGTGGGGCTTTGAAAAAAAAAAAAAGAAGTGTCTGACACTATGGCGCAGTAAAAGTTGGAAGAAACTGCAAATGATAAAATGTTGATCACATCGTCCGTTCACTATAATTCTTGTTAATGAATTATAAAACTAGCACTGTGTGCCTGATGTGATTAAGACATTAAATAGGTTCTTTCATCATCATCATGTGCCCTGCCAATTGGCGTACGCGCTCATGCATCTCCACAGATCACGATCCCTGGTTGCCTGGAACAGCTCTCTTGATAATATTCCTCCATGCCATCATTTCAGCCCATCCAGCATCATCTCTCTTAGTCTGCCTCTACCTCCTTTTCCACTGATCTTTCCAGTTGTCACGATGTTCTCCAGTGTCTCTTCTCATTTTGTAGCCAAATAAAAGTGTTTGTCTCTTTTTTATTGTGTATATAGAGATCTACTTTCATTAGCTTCTTTCAGTTATACTTCATAAATGTGGAATTCGGGTGGAAAAGGGAGATGTAGATGACCAAATAAACCCTGCAGATGCAGAATAGAAACGAAAGGGAAGGGCAGTAAACTGATCTAGAATACCATGTGCATAAAAACAGTAGACCGACAAAAGTCGACATCACGTGTGAATGCCTAATGTGTCAACAACGACATGAAGAAGATATGAATAGATGGCAGATCGAGAAGATCGACCGCACTGCACCTGTTTCTACCTCTCATGGTTTAGTCTCCATCGAGCAGCCAGTGGCATTCAGCAAAGCACGAGACAAAAGCTCCATTGACAGAACCTGCCCTCACAAATCAAAGATCATATTCCAGAACTTAGCGCCGACCTTCAGAGCGCCAGGGTAACGACACAACCATTTTACCAGAGACCTTTTTCTAGTTTACTTTGTAATTTACAGTTCTGTGGCTTGGAAATAAGGATGAACGTTTCCAAATCCTCGACAAATCTGGATTCTTCTACTTCTTCTCCTCCTCCTCCTCAACCGTTCTTCTTCTTCTTCTTCTTCTTCTTTTTCTTCTTCTTCTTCTTCTTCTTCTTCTTCTTCTTCTTCTTCTTCTTCTTCTTCTTCTTCTTCTTCTTCTTTCACCCTAAAAGAGCGATTATTGCATTGTCTTGTGGTTTAAAGCTAGGCTGCGACATCTGTGCCTTTCGGTGGTAACATATGATTTCAGCAATCCCTTAATTAGTCGTCTTTTGTTACATGTTTGTTACGGATCAGCTCCTCCCCCTCCCCCCTCCCCGCTCCTCCCCCATCTCTAAGCCTTCATGGGGGTATCCCTGTTTCGATTTCCACGGCGGTTGTAAAGAAAGAATTCAAACAGTACCTCAGTAATTGCTCTATGAATTGCTCACATCACATTATATTTCCAAAATTATTAGATGTGTGTATATTTTGACAGCTAAACAGAGCAGTCCATGTGTTTTGAAAGAGGTAAGAGTTCGAAGACAACTGATCACAAACATCAGAAAGAAACTGTCGTCCCTTTTGTGGTCATATAATAACAAGATTGGTGCCAGGCTTTTTTTTTTTTAATGACCTTGTCTCCCAGGTCAACCCAGCCTTGATGGGATACTAGCTGCAGTCCTGGGAAGTAAGGGCGGCTGACACATCACCCACGTCTACACAAATAAAGGTCTAGCCCTATATGCCTGAAGGCGTGAAAAATGGCCTTTTACTTATGCGAAGAGGGAAACTGGAACATGCTAAGACCACGGGAAAGATATGTGGACAGAGAGACAGAGGAAGACAGCCCGAGAAGATTCTTGACAGCTTCTGTAGCGTGACTACAGCCCCTCCCCCCTTTTCTTCCTTTCTTCCCACAACGTATCGGTGTTACCTTTCCTTCGGAATAAACAAGGTAGGCCAACTGAGGGACCATGCTGCATGGCCAGCATATGACCTCTAGAGTAATGCCAGACTGTGTGCTATGGAGAAGTGGAACTTCATTGTTAATTGGCTGTGCCTGGCTATAACACAATGTAACACCATTGTGTGCAAATACGGTAAGATGGCAACTGTAAAACTTACTGCCTACATGTAGTAAATTGTATGAAACTCTTTTCCCCCAGAAGCATTTCAATCAATTGTATTTTATTATGCATTGTGTACTCATTTAATTATAATGGTGTAATTGGGTTTTTATTATTTTTATGTCACTGCTTTTATTTTTTTCTAACTTACAAGGTCTCAGCAGTGAAATGGTTGCCTCGCGATTTGAAGGTTGTGGGTTTGTTTCACGTAATATGTCGCTCATTTCCAGAATTTAGTGTTTATGGAACACCCCCGGGATCATCGCTGGAGATACGGAGTTTGTACTTTAAGCGATTCTCTCGGAAGTCACCACATAGTTGTTATATAAAAAGAGATGATACAACTGGGTGCAACGAAATCGCAGCTGTGGACTTATTGGCTCCCTTATTACTGTTATACTGACAGAAAATTAAGAAGACCGTATGTGCATTGATAGTGGGCACGTTTCACAATCCTCGACACACCAAGGTTCACTTTCCAAAAAGACTGTCTTCGCAGAAGCGCTATAACCTGTTAACTCAGTTACGTTTACCCCCCCCCCCCCTCTCCCCTTTTCCCGTCAACCATACCAAAAAAATGTGCTGTGGAGAGGACATGCAGTATATAATAATAGTAATATAATTATTATTATTACACACCTAAACGAGTTCCCCCTACAGGCCATCATCCCTTACACAATTGTAAGGGGATGACCCTCCCCCGACCCGCTCACCCCAGTGTTGTTTTATTTTTGGGGGGAATCGGCACCTCTGCGTCCTCGTGGCCCTAAAAACGAAGATGATAGCGTGTCATTATGGAAGTATTTTGAGCCGTTGTACCTGATATTTCCCTAGACATATTCCTTGTACCTAATCTTCAGTGTGGAAACACGACCCACATGTGTATGTATCTTCTTTACTACGACACAGGCATCACTAGATACTAGTTTACTGCATAGACATGTTTCAGTATACCTAACATAAAAAATTATATTCAAATGTGTTAGGGTCCCACGGGGATAGCGCAAGTGAACATTTGGAGTTACATTTTGGTGAGATAAGCAGATGTGAATCCAGCCAACTCCTCCCCCTGAGTGAATGTATTATTTTATAATACTTCCTGATTACCGCATTTTGCCAAAAACAACTTACCATTTATATTGGTAATTCCCATCCTTCCCATTTTATCTTGAGTATTTCTTGTTGATACATCTTTTACCCCCACCTTACCTCCTCGTTGTTGGTATATTATTATTGTTGTTGTTACTGTTATTATTATTATTATTATTATTTTTATTATTATTATTATTATTATTATTATTATTATTATTATTATTATTATTTCAAAATCATTAAAAACACTGTTATTGCTTTTACAATTTCCTTGCATTTTTATACAAAGAAATCACTGCAAATAGTGTTGCGTGATATCTTTCTGCTTTTTTGTTGCTAATGTTGAAGTGCTAGTACTTTTCCATTTGCTTTAGTGCCTTGTTTATTTATTATATATATATATATATATATATATGAAATGATATTTGCTTTTTCAATGAGAAACGCCTAACAAAAGTGTCGCACAAAGCAGGATCTCCATAGCTCAACATTGATCCCCAAGGATTTCCTTTACATTTGCAGTGACAGAAAAAGTGTTAGAGAAAGAGCAAGAGAAAAAGCAAGGGAAGGGGGCGATAAATATATAGATAGATAGAAAGATATATATATAAGTATAGTGGGAGGAAAAAGAGAGAGGAGAGAGAGAGAGAGAGAGAGAGAGAGGAGAGAGAGAGAGAGAGAGAGAGAGAGAGAGAGAGAGAGAGAGAGAGAGAGAGAGAGAGAGAGAGAGAGAGATTTTTAGATTATCAAAAAAGATTTGACTATATTAACAACTGAAATAGCGGAGAAAAAAATCTTAAAACATGAAAAATTTGAGAAATGTGAAGAATAATCTAAATAAAAATGTATACAAAACAAAGGGTACAATGTGAACACTAGCATAACTGTGCACACTTTTTTTGTTTAACTCGTCGCTTATTCCCTTCCAACATATTCATTGTTTTGTTCCTGAATTCTTTTAAACATTGCTCCAGCCCCCCCCCCCCCCTTTTCCCAGTTTCAGTTGAGTTATCTTTTTAAGTACCTATCGAAAAGTGAGCTTTAAAATAATGAAATTTCGATTAATGTACTTTCTGAATACAGACTTTTTGATTAATGCTCTTCTGAGGATTGGCCTCTTCAATCCCAACTTTTTAAAATCAAAACCTTTTGAACCATAAATTATTAAGTCATAACTTTTTGAAATGTATTGAATTTGAAAAAAAAAAACCTGTTCAATAATTACTTTCTGTAATCCATACCGAATTAATTTTTATTTACAAAGGCTAGTTAGGATATTCAGGAAAAGATTAAGGCATCATAGCCGCAACTTCTAGCACAAGAAGCAGAGACAGCAGCAGCAAAAGGAAACCTCAGAGAACTTTTCAGTAACACAAGAAAATTAGTAGGTAAATATAGTCAGCCAACTGGATCAATCAAAAATAGTCAAGGAAAGGTACTTACTAACACT